CACAAGTTAAAAAAAATAAACCAAAACAACATTAAATAAAATTTAAAATTAAGTGCACCGACGCTTCCCCCCACAAGTGGCGGGGCGGCGGTAGGAGATGTACATCAGCGCGCGGCCGTCGCAGAGAACGCACGGGCAGGCGGCACGGGGCCAGAACGCACAACCAAAGACACTGGAATATATACATCCACACCGCTGCAGGGTGCTCAAATATACGCGGCGCAGGCGCCAGTCGGTGCTCCCGCGCGTGTGGGCAGTGGCCGCACACAACGGGACTCCACACCGACGGCGCACGCGCCCCGCCCCGTCCTCAGCACGCAGCACCGGCGGTCGCCACAGCGGCACTGACCAGCAGCAGCAGCGACACCTGCACCCACACAGGGCCGCCAGGGCTGCGCGCGTCTTCAGGAGTCGGTGCCTTGGAGGTAGTTGTGGTCGTGTTCTTGGGCGCCTTGGAGGAAGTAGTAGTCGTAGTAGTAGTTGTGGTCGTGTTCTTGGGCGCCTTGGAGGAAGTAGTAGTCGTAGTAGTAGTTGTGGTCGTGTTCTTGGGCGCCTTGGAGGTAGTTGTGGTCGTAGTAGTTGTAGTAGTGGTAGTGGTAGTCGTATTCTTCTTCGGGTCGCCCCCAGCAGCCTTAAAAACAGCAGCATCGTACTGCCCCTCCTCCTGGGCCGTGGCGCACACGCACGCACAGCAGAGGGCAAAGAAAAGCACGCAGAGGACGCGGCGCAGCATCATTGTCACTTGGGCCTTTGTGGACTTCGCTTGTTGCTCGCGGTGTAAACTCTCCTGTCGGGCCGGCACCGGGCGGGCACAACGAGAGCACGCAGCATGGGAGGGAGAGACACGGGCAGGTGCACAGCATACACACAAAAGAACAGAGACAGACAGACAGCGGGGGAGTGGGACCGAGACGCGACGGAGCAGCCACGCCACGCCGCAGGGGCACCAGCACACACACACACACACACACACACACAGTCAGCGCCCACAACAAACAAACCCAACCCGATGAAAAAAAAAATATTCGCCTGGGCTGCTGGCCGGATCCTGAAATCATCAAAAGAAATCAAACAAGAAGAGAGAAGGGGGGTGGTGGAGAGGCAGTGGGTTCGCCACTCCCTCGATGTTTGCTCCAAGTAAATATATTCCGATAGCCACTCTCGCGACACGGTGCACCTTGTTAGGATTGGAAATACTATCGCATACCAAGTGGCAGACCCTGGGCTCCGCCAGCCACAAGGCCCCGCCGCGAGGTGGGAATCAAAAAGAGGGGGTGGTGGGAAAATAAGAAATAAAAAGTAAAAAAAAATCCGTCTTGTCGCTATCGGCTCCCTGGTTCCTTCAATCACCGCCTTCCAAAAATTCATAGGATGGAAAAGAATCGTGCAGAAACATCTCCACTTTATCAGGACATATTCATTTAGGTGACCAGCTTCCCCCGCGAACATCCTTTTCACAAGCTTTAAAAAAAATAAACCAAAACAACATTAAATAAAATTTAAAATTAAGTGCACCGACGCTTCCCCCCACAAGTGGCGGGGCGGCGGTAGGAGATGTACATCAGCGCGCGGCCGTCGCAGAGAATGCACGGGCAGGCGGCACGGGGCCAGAACCCACAACCAAAGACACTGGAATATATACATCCACACCGCTGCAGGGTGCTCAAATATACGCGGCGCAGGCGCCAGTCGGTGCTCCCGCGCGTGTGGGCAGTGGCCGCACACAACGGGACTCCACACCGACGGCGCACGCGCCCCGCCCCGCACTCAGCACGCAGCACCGGCGGTCGCCACAGCGGCACTGAGCAGCAGCAGCAGCGACACCTGCACCCACACAGGGCCGCCAGGGCTGCGCGCGTCTTCAGGAGTCGGTGCCTTGGAGGTAGTTGTGGTCGTGTTCTTGGGCGCCTTGGAGGTAGTAGTAGTCGTAGTAGTTGTAGTGTTAGTCGTATTCTTCTTCGGGTCGCCCCCAGCAGCCTTAAAAACAGCAGCATCGTACTGCCCCTCCTCCTGGGCCGTGGCGCACACGCACGCACAGCAGAGGGCAAACAAAAGCACGCAGAGGACGCGGCGCAGCATCATTGTCACTTGGGCCTTTGTGGACTTCGCTTGTTGCTCGCGGTGTAAACTCTCCTGTCGGGCCGGCACCGGGCAGGCACAACGAGAGCACGCAGCATGGGAAGGAGAGACACGGGCAGGTGCACAGCATACACACAAAAGAACAGAGACAGACAGACAGCGGGGGAGTGGGACCGAGACGCGACGGAGCAGCCACGCCACGCCGCAGGGGCACCAGCACACACACACACACACACACACACACAGTCAGCGCCCACAACAAACAAACCCAACCCGATGAAAAAAAAAATATTCGCCTGGGCTGCTGGCCGGATCCTGAAATCATCAAAAGAAATCAAACAAGAAGAGAAAAGGGGGGTAGTGGAGAGGCAGTGGGTTCGCCACTCCCTCGATGTTTGCTCCAAGTAAATATATTCCGATAGCCACTCTCGCGACACGGTGCACCTTGTTAGGATTGGAAATACTATCGCATACCAAGTGGCAGACCCTGGGCTCCGCCAGCCACAAGGCCCCGCCGCGAGGTGGGAATCAAAAAGAGGGGGTGGTGGGAAAATAAGAAATAAAAAGTAAAAAAAAAATCCGTCTTGTCGCTATCGGCTCCCTGGTTCCTTCAATCACCGCCTTCCAAAAATTCATAGGATGGAAAAGAATCGTGCAGAAACATCTCCACTTTATCAGGACATATTCATTTAGGTGACCAGCTTCCCCCGCGAACATCCTTTTCACAAGCTAAAAAAAATAAACCAAAACAACATTAAATAAAATTTAAAATTAAGTGCACCGACGCTTCCCCCCACAAGTGGCGGGGCGGCGGTAGGAGATGTACATCAGCGCGCGGCCGTCGCAGAGAACGCACGGGCAGGCGGCACGGGGCCAGAACGCACAACCAAAGACACTGGAATATATACATCCACACCGCTGCAGGGTGCTCAAATATACGCGGCGCAGGCGCCAGTCGGTGCTCCCGCGCGTGTGGGCAGTGGCCGCACACAACGGGACTCCACACCGACGGCGCACGCGCCCCGCCCCGCACTCAGCACGCAGCGCCGGCGGTCGCCACAGCGGCACTGAGCAGCAGCAGCAGCGACACCTGCACCCACACAGGGCCGCCAGGGCTGCGCGCGTCTTCAGGAGTCGGTGCCTTGGAGGTAGTTGTGGTCGTGTTCTTGGGCGCCTTGGAGGTAGTAGTAGTCGTAGTAGTTGTAGTGTTAGTCGTATTCTTCTTCGGGTCGCCCCCAGCAGCCTTAAAAACAGCAGCATCGTACTGCCCCTCCTCCTGGGCCGTGGCGCACACGCACGCACAGCAGAGGGCAAAGAAAAGCACGCAGAGGACGCGGCGCAGCATCATTGTCACTTGGGCCTTTGTGGACTTCGCTTGTTGCTCGCGGTGTAAACTCTCCTGTCGGGCCGGCACCGGGCGGGCACAAAGAGAGCACGCAGCATGGGAAGGAGAGACACGGGCAGGTGCACAGCATACACACAAAAGAACAGAGACAGACAGACAGCGGGGGAGTGGGACCGAGACGCGACGGAGCAGCCACGCCACGCCGCAGGGGCACCAGCACACACACACACACACACACACACACAGTCAGCGCCCACAACAAACAAACCCAACCCGAGAAAAAAAA